TTCAACTCATCAATAATTGTTTAAATTTAATCATGACCCAATGTGTGATTCTCCCTCTTCTTCTCTTGCACACAAACACATTCCTACACTCTCACCTTGCTTGCTCACATCAATGTATATACATTTTTATTGTCTGCTCTCACCAAATGTACGTTGTAAATGTTTAAACATTATCTTGTGATTATGTGCACTTACTACTACTACTGCACACTAATTGCTAATTGCAATCCGGTTGGTGCAAGTATTCATTTATCTATGTATTTAAATGTGTATTATTTGGATTTGCTCTTTTGAGGTTAAGATCAATCAATACATAGATTGTCAATTTGTGTTATTGCATCTTTCAATGTCTTTCGAGTATTGAAATTAATTGATGCTTCTACCTACCTAACATCGGCATAAAAGGTTTTCTCTGTTGGTGGTGGTGAGGTCAACATTGGCATTGGCAAATGAAAATTTTCCATTGTTGATAATACAAACAAATCAAAAATTCTCTCTCTTTTTTTTTCTCTATGTAGTCAAACTCGAGGTTAGATCTTTTGTTTATAACACTTTCCTCGATTTGAGCATATCTCAATCTTTAACTTTATTGTATTTACATATTGGTTTGTGGATTTGAATTGCTACTAATTGGAGGAATATTGTTTTAGTTCTGATGGCGTCAAAAGATGATTTTGAGGTGCGCGTCCTGATCTCGAAAGGGAAGCGAGCGGCTGCTGCATACGTGCACGCAGATTGTGCAAACAACGCGGCCCCACGACACCTGAACGAAGTGCTCGATAACCTCCTGAACCCGTCGAAGGCGATCGACGAATGGGAGGCGATAGATTGGTGCAAGTGGCTCATCGCCGGCGGTCGCACTCCAGACGAATTCGCAAGCACAGGTAAACACTATTAATATTACTACTACTAATACTATAATTATAATGCGATGATTTATTATTTCAGTGAGGACGTTCGACAATGCGACGACGTGCGGTTTAGTTTGGACGCCAAACTTCGTGGCCTACAGATGCCGCACCTGCGGGATATCGCCGTGCATGTCGCTGTGCACGGAGTGCTTCAAGAAGGGCAACCATCAGCGACACGATTTCAACATGTTCTTGAGTCAGGCGGGCGGTGCCTGCGACTGCGGCGACACCTCGGTGATGAAGGAGACAGGATTCTGCGATAGGCACGGACCCAACAAGTCCGTGAACACCGGGAAGGCTCCTTCCGATCTGATGTGCGTCGCCCAGGCGATGATGCCGCGAATCATCATGCGACTGGTGCTGCACCTGCGAGAGAACAGCGTCTACGGTAATCCGGACGCGTACAAATGGGCGATCAACGATGCCGACGCCTTCATCACGATGCTGCTCGACTTCAACAACATGGGCGGTCTGATGCGCAGGGTGATGACGTCCGCCCTCACCAATCCGCAGATGTATCGGGTGCTGAACGAACAGCCCGACCCGCTACCAGAGACAGATTACGCCCAGTTCCTCGCCAACTCGAAGAAGATCTACCAGGAGGCACTCAAGGGTCTGCCGAATCCGGTACCGCTGGACGAATACAAAGATTGTCCCTCCTTGCAGGAGAATCTCGTCCATAAGACTTTTCTCGAGGAGCTCGTTTTCTGGACCGTAAAATTTGAGTTTCCTCAGAAAGTCGTCTGCCTATTGCTCAATATGCTTCCCGACGCCGATTACAAGGTTTCTTATCTGCGAGATGTGCTCTCCTCCATTACAAACTTGCTTATTTCTTATTTCAGGAAGCATTGACGCGCGCCTTCGTCCTGCACTACAGTCGCATCTCGATGATGCTGGAGCGATCCGCCGATCCGGATACGCTCAGCAATCGGGTCGTCCACGTCAGCGTTCAGCTCTTCTCGAACGAGGGCCTCGCTCTGCGGATGACCGAGCAGCTAAACCTGCTGCACGTCATGGTCGTAAGCCTCAAGTACATGATGAGCAAAATCCTGATTCAGAACACGCTGCACGGTAATTTAATCGATTCGAATCGCTAATTGCGCATCATTATCTTCATCTCTATATATTTCATTCTTTCGGCAGATCCCGACAAGAATTTCCATTACGTCGTCGACTGCGGTAGACCCGTGATGAAGGAACACTGCTATTGGCCCCTGGTCTCCGATCTGAATAACGTTCTGTCCCATAGACCCGTCGCTCTCAGATTCATGTCGGACGATTCGCTGCTGGAGATGTGGTTCACCTTCCTATCAATGTTTCAAGGTACATTTAGTACATTTAGTATACGATTGCTAAATTGTTTTTCGATATCTGAATGGCTCTTTTTGTTTCTCTTTTTTGCAAGGGATGAACGTTAACCAGAGGGAGTTGAATCAGCACGTCGAATTCGAGCCGACCACCTATTATGCCGCTTTCAGTGCTGAATTAGAGGCGAGCGCGTATCCAATGTGGGCGCTAGTTTCACACCTGGTTGATGCCAGTACCTCGTCCCTCACCAGAAGGGTGCTGACTTCCTGCTTGGCTGCTCTGCAAGAGTGGCTCGATGCCATCAATTATACGAATCCTGTAGTGGTGAGTCTTCACTCTACCTTCCATTTCTTTTGCTAACTAATTACAATCGATGAATTACATTTGCAGAGCGACAGCTTCCAAGTGTCCTTTCATCTGCCGCTGCATCGTTATCTGGCCGTGTTCCTGTGCCAGGCCGTAGCCAAACAGTCGATATCCCTGAACGAGGTTCTACCCTCCCCCGAGACGCTGCACCTGCTGATGATGCATCCGCTCCGAGTTCAGGTCAGTGTTTATACACACACACATATTAATTACAACAACAACACCAGTTTTTCAACTATAATTATTTATTCGCTAAACGCTAATCTTAACATGGTAATAACGTTTGAGAAACATATAAAGTTAAAAAACTGTATCACTCTCGATCCAGTTCCAATTTGAGATCGTTTCTCGCGTTCTCGATGTACTGTATCGGATCAAGTGCGATAATCTTGGGGGCGATGAAACCTCCGAAGTGCTCCTGACCCTTGTGGTAGAGGCCAACCCCTATCAACGGGACGGGGTCCAGACTCTTCACCGGTTGCGCATCGAAGAAGGGCACGGTCGTCTGCGCCGCGTCCCTCTCCAAATCTGTGGCTTCGAATTCAATGTACATGTTGTTCCTGGAATCGGGAATCGATCGGCGAAGTGCCCGTATCGGAATATCCCTATTCTGCAGATCTAATTTCTTCCTGCAAAACAAACGACGCGTCTCGATCACGATTTTCGCAGTTTCTTACACCTACTACACCATGCAAACTACTACTAGTCGATCGATATTATTATACTCACAAAGGGGACGGTCTAAATAGTCCATGCCTGACGTGTGCAAATGCAGATTACCCATCATAATCATTATCATATAATCGTGTTGTGCTTACCTGCTGTGCATGGGCGTCAGTTCGGTGTTGTCGTTGGACATCCAATGACTTAGGTGGGCCTGCATCTTTCCGGTTCGGTAATCGAACGGTGTGACGCGAATCTCGAAGTTCAGATGCGATCCGATCAGCTTGTACTTGACGCCCGTGATCACGTGGTTCTCGGGTGCTTTCAAATCGTCCAAATCCATGGCTCTCTTGGTCCAAGTCAGCGTGTGGTAATCCTCGCCAGTGAATACGTTCTTGTCCGTTATGCTGTAATTGTCGACGGGTATCCACGCGACGCTTCCGTTGTCCACCTTTCCATTCGCCTGCAGTCGACCCTCCTGGATCTGCAGGTGTACGACGCGGTTCTTCTTTGTGAATTTCAGTCCCGTCAACACCCTGCAATTAAACAAACAAACAAACAAACTCGTAACATTATGTTGTCTCTTGGCTGTCTTGTCTTTTACGCCTACATTTGTTCGTCGGCACGCGAAACGCTCTCCCTCAAATTGACGAAACGATCGGAATTGATGCTTTGCTCGTCGCAGTAGCACAGACAGTAGGAGCAATGCCAGAACAGGTATCTCCACCAGCTGTCCACCTTTGTGGTTCCTGCTCGACATGCCTGCTTCCTACCGAAAACATTTCCGTTCTCGTACTCGATATACTCGTATCGCCTGTGCGTGCTTCTCATCTGAAAACGTTCAGCATTTAGCAAAATTCTTGAGCCTAATTAATCTACTACTAACCGCCGGGCAAATCCACATGTCCGAATCTATGAAGCGGCAGTTGATGATTTCCCCGTTGCATCGTCTCTGCTGCTTGCAGTACAGATTCTTGTAGCACGAATGGCTTTTGGTGTATTTGTAAGCGGCGCAATTTTCCCAGCAGTTGCCGTCCGGATTGAGATCGACCTCGTTCTGCACGTAACCCTGCAGCAACTCGGTAATCTCGATGTAGTTCTCATCTGCAAAGTGTTAATATTAGATTTTATTCAATGTTGGATCTGATTATCTGTCCGTGCATTTCACCTTTTATGTACTTGTTCGGATCGCACCTCCAGTACTCGTTCGATGACAGTTTCGCCGCATCGAGCATCGCCGCCTGATTTCTGAGCGCGTTCGTTTTGTACTCGTTCTCGGCTTGCATCGCCTTTGCCCTGGTGTTCTCTGAAAGAAAATATACAATTACGTTATTTAAATTTTCTTCCACCGCTCTTCATTCCTCCTACCATTGTTCAAGAGTTTCAAAATCAAGTACGAGTACTGTATCATCATGTATCCTTTCAATTGGGTTATCGCAATGTTGTTGTACAAATGTAGCAGTACAGTCCGCGGCGAATCAGCCTGGCTGCAGAAGTTTACACCGTCCATGCTCTGCGAAAATATAGTTTATGTATCTTTCTTCTATTTGCGATTTACGAGTGCTGCGTGCGTACCGTCAATATTTTTCGGTAGAGTCGATCCTCGACGATGTACATGTTCAGTCGCTCGCAGGTGACCACTATCGAGAGGTTGTGATTGCTGAGCACGCTCTCCACCAGGTCGATCCAGGCCCTCCTCGGCGAAGGTACTCGGCCCGACGTGGTCTGCTGCTTCTGAAACCTCTCGAAGCTCAAATAGAGAGAGTAAATGGAGCGCAGCTCGCCGTATGCGTTCGCCCATTGCCAGTTGTCCACGGAGGAGACGCCGTGGGTGATGTCGTAGGGGAATGCCTCGTGCAGACGTCTCCCGAACGATTCAAACTCTTCGATCAGTCCAATCTCTGCATTTTTGTTGATCTCGTTGTTATCGTGGCCGTACTTGTCCCAGAGTCTTCGCGACAATTCTTGGAATTCTACGCGGAATATATCTGCTTCGAGGTACTCGTCGTTGGTGACGGCGGCGGCGGCGACGACGGTCCAGCTCGTGCCCAGCACAAGCATTGAAATACAAAACAACGCACCTTTGATCATCATTAACATCAGCATTGTTGCATATCAACGACAAACGCGACGACTGCTTCGCACGATGTATATCTATAAAGGATAAACGGTAGATTAATAATAGCGCGGTTTTATATTCAATTATATTTGGTTAGAAGCCAAAGGTCTGACGAAATTGCGCGAAGGAAAAGAGCTCGACTCTGTATGTATGCATGCGTGTGTATGTGTGTTGGTCAATATAAAATACGACGATTGACCTTAAGCAACAACGGTACGACGTGACTCACGCGAATTCCGCAAAAAAATATCGATCTCTTTTGTTTCTTGCATATCTGCGTCTTATTATTAACAAGCAGGTGTTGTGTGTGTGTATTCATTTGTTGTTGTCCTGATTACTCATCATTGTATAGTCAATAACAATGAGGGTTGTCATCCGAGCTGTCTTCGAAAGTGTGCTGATTCTGCTACACAAATCAGCAGTTATTAATATTCTCAGCCAGGGTTATTAATCTCTTCACATCTGACCTCTGATGTCCCTCAATGCTTACAAATTTATTTATACACAATTTATACGACGTTTTAATTACTATTTACATCAAAGTGCAGATGCTTCAATCAATTTGGTGCTAATGATAGAGGACTTGGTTATTATCGGACAAATATATTTGTCTTTTATTATTTTGCTTTCACATACCACTGTTGTAAATATTCACTATTAGTCCTTTTAATCTCGGTACACTCTCTCTCTCTTTGAGCACTGTTTTTGAATTTAAGATATTTTTATTATTATTCTTTTCCACCGGATATCAAGTGTCAGTTGGCAGTTTTGACAGTTGAGTGGCTTAATTAGGTGGTTGCTGGTGGGGGGATATCTTACGAAGACATGCAACCAACCTGGCGTGCGACGGCAACCCAAAGACCATCCAATTATACCTACCTTGTTATGTAGCCATCATTGATCATCAACGAAATTAGTCTTGTGATGATAACGTTTGAAAAAACGTTAAATCTTGTTTATACTTTTAAACATAATTCATGTACAAAAAATGAAATGCAGTTTGATAATCCCTGCGCACATATAAAGTGTTTTCGATAATATATCGTTGCGTATTACCAATTTACGTCTCGAGTTACTGCAATAAATGTTGATAAATGTTTGTACTTGCTTTGATCTTTGATCGTGTATGGATTTGCAAATTTTTGTTGGTTGTTCGATCCCTTTTCCCCAATGTTTAGTCTTAATGTCTGATTCACTTCAGCTCTGAACCTCACGTTTCGCCGACTATTTGTTAATTTCCCCCTTCGACTGCAATTTCTTTTATTAGCGATTATATAGTTTGTTTATTCTTCACTTCCTTTGCATTGCATTGATATGAGCGAGGCGCAGACGAAACGCACGCGTTACATTGATATTTATCATTATTTGTCACTTTTTATCTGAATGTGAAGGAAGTGGTGCGGGTTGACGGATGTGTGGGATTTCTTAGTAATTAAGTTTTCCGCTTTGTTTGGAATACGATGATATATTGTTGTTTATGCGAGAAAGAAAAGAAGTAACGTTGTTCTTTAATTAGGAACACTTTTATTATTATTACTATTGTTATTGAGCACTCTATATGTATTATTTACTTATCATTAGTACTTGGTAAAGTATATTTGGCAACGAATCGAGATTATGTTTATAATTGCAGCGATTTCTGTATGATCGTTCTTATTATTGTTCATTCAGGCAAGGGTACGATCTTATCTTCGGAAAGCTGATCGAGGTACTTGTAGTAATCCAGGGTCATCAGTTTGGGTGCTATGAAACCGCCGTAGTTGCCGGTAGTTTTGTACATGATGCCGACGCCATCGATGGGAGAAACCATCGAAGAAACCGGTTGAGCGTCGAAGAAGGGTACCGTCGTCTGCGCTGCATCCTCCGACATGCTAGTGTGCGTGAACTCTAGGTATTGGCCGGGCGTCGAGCGCGGTTCTGATTTCTGCTTGGACAGAATAGGAACATCCTTATCAGACGTGACGATCTGGCTCCTGGCGGTTTTCAGATTCTCGAACCATTCGCTCTTCGACGGAGACAGTTCGCCGGTTTCAATATCGAACGGTGTCGTTCTGATGGCCAGGTTCAGATGAGCCCCGATCAGTTGAAATTGAACGCCTGCATCCATCATCATGATTATATTATAATCGACACGTTGTTACGTTACCTGTAACCAGATGATTCATGGGGGCGTACAGATCGTCCAAGTTGATGGCTCTCTTCTTCCAAGTCAAGGTGTGGTAATCCTTTCCGTCTCTGATCATGGGGTCGGTGATCTGGAACTCGCTGATCGGCACCCATTTCACCGAAAAATGTTCGATCTTTCCGTTCTCGATCAGCTTACCCTGCTGCACCTGCAGATGGACGATGCGATTGCGTTTGACGAACCGCAAACCGGTGACGACCCTGCGAACATAGAAAATAAGAAGAGGTGGTTTTAATTTGTGTTTTAAGATTATCGAACATGTTGTTGTCGATGTCCGAGACGACCTTCCGCAGGTCGATGAAGCGGTCCGACTTGGGACTCTGCTCATCGCAGTAGCACATGCAGTAGGAGCAATGCCAGAACAGGTATCTCCACCAGCTGTCCACCTTTGTCGCCGCGCACGATCTCTTCTTGCCCATAATCTTTCCGTTCTCGTACATTATGTAATCGTAACGTCTGTTGGGTGTTTTCTAGAGGAATTTGCAACAAAAAAGAAAAGATTATTAGTTGTTTGACGATTGGGATTGGGTAGCAATTGCTGTACCGACGGGCAGACCCACGAGTCTGAATCGATGAATTCGCAATTTATGATATCACCGTTGCAACGCCGCTGCTGGCTGCAGTACAGATTCAAGTAGCAGCTCTTGGAGTTTGTGAATTTGTAGTCTGCGCACGTTCTAAAACATTCGCTGGTTTCGCTCAGATCCACCTCGTTCATAATGTAACCCTGGATGAGCTCGGTGATTTCGATGTAGTCATCTGCAAGTATTATTGAAAACTTTTGATGATCGAATGAAGAATGTATGTGTTGAGTATGTAGAGTACCTTTATGGAAGGTCACCGGATCGCATTTCCAGAATTCGCGTGACGAATTCGGCGCGTACATCATGAGCTGTTCCAGCGTTTCCGCAGATCGGTTCTGCATGCGCGACATTATTATTTCCGATTCCTTTGTGAAATTCCCTAAAACACCACCACTCGCACTCGTGTTAAGAAACGATGAATCCGATGAAGACTACCGTCTACCGACTACTCACCAATGTTGTACATTTTGAGTAGCATGTAGGAGAATTGCACGGTAGTGTAGCCCTTGAGTTCTATCAAAGCAATCGCCTCAAACAGATTCAGCAGTTGCCTCTGCGCTGATCTTCCCAGTTTGCATACCATCAGTTTATCTTGTTCCTGCGCTCCCATACAATTGTTATTGTAATATTTATATTGCATATTTATATGAATTTACCAATAGCTTGTGGTACAATTTGAAGAGGGACATGGCGCCGGCGTTCTCCGTCTCTTTAGGAACGACGACCAACGAATGGATGCGCTCGATAGTGTTCTTCACGGAATTGGGTGAATGCGAGATGACGGATTTGGCAAAGTCTTCGAGCGTGAAGCGTTCCAGGTCGTTCTTGTTGTGCAGATAACTCTGCATGGTGCGATGCGCGATGTTCACCTGGTTAAAATACTCGAAGAGGTCGTCCAGTTTTCTGTCGTATCTGATCTTGTCCGGCATGTTATATATCATCGCCGTGACGGACTGTATTCCGGTATTTTCGATATGTATGGACACTTTCTCGATCTTCTCGTTAATCAGTTTCATTCCGTTGACGATCTTGTGATGCCACTTGGACTCGAGAGGAAAGGGCACCTCGCTGATGTGAAAGTGCTCGTCGATCAGGCTCCATGACTTTGCGAGCGAGATCACCACGTTCTTGCCGATGCTGATCACGTCCAGCAATTCGGAAATGCCGATGGCTTCCGCTTTTTGCGGAATTTCCGCCACTGTTAACATGCACACTGTTGTTATTAACAGTGTCAGTCTGCGAGCGTCCATTTTGTATAGTTTGTTCTTTCTTGATCAAGATCAAGACCATCCATTTACCACGACTCTCTCTCGAAGACTGTCGGTCAGTCAGCTCAACGTACATACACACACACACAATGAGCATACTAAACATTCCCATTCCCACTCCTGCAGCAGCTGCACGTTGACTCCGCATCCGCATCACAAAGACCACCTCTCTCTCTTCCTACCTCACTCACTTCCTCCCTACCTCCTTGCACCATCTCTTTCTATCCTCGTCTCATTGCAAGTTCATAGATTAGTCATCATCATCCAAATAATAGACCTTCACTGAATTACTTTTTTTAAATTGTTAATTAATGAATTTTTACTAATTGTTGATTTTCAATTGCAGCATATGCTATATGTTTTCTCTTATCGCGGGAAAACCCGAGATTATGATATGCCTTTTTAATTCGCGATGTTGATATGCGTTTAAAATTAGCTCGTGCTGTGTACTTGATTTGTACTTATAATATTATCTTTCTTTTCTTTTGTGATCGCTCTTTGTAGGTAGCCTTTTACGAAATACTGAATGGGCTGTGGGTGCGAAACGGTCTGCAGATAAAGGGACAGGCGATGACCTACATCCAGTCCAATTTCTGCAACTCCATGGTGGACGCTGATCTGTACCTGCTGCAGATATGCTCCACGCGCATCCCGGCCGAAAACTTCCTCAATATCGTCATCGAAAAGTTCCACGTGAAGGAGTGGATGAGCGTCGCCCCTTATCAGGCCCCGCAAAACTCGTACCTGGAGGGTGAGCACGACACGCCTATGCTTGAGAGCTTCCTCACCTTTCTGACGACGCTCGTCAGCGTGCGCACTAACCTCGGACTCTTGGAGACGGACGTCAATCGATTGGAAATGATCACGCTCCTGTGCATGGGCGACAAGACGCACTCGCAGCTGATGGAGCTGATGCCCGAACGATGCGGCACCTCGCAGAGTCGCGACTTTGAGGCGCTCCTCGCGGAGGTTGCCGACTACCGGGCGCCCGCCCTCGAAGCCACCGGTAACATGCAGCAAGGCATGTACGTGCCCAAGTCGCAGATCTGGAAGCAGGAGTACGATCCCATCCACGTCCTGCTGCGCGCCGTCCATCGACGAGACTTTCAGACAAGCATGGATCGATATACAGACGAGTAAGTACATTTCTTATTATTATTATGATCATTTCCACATCATTCTAATTTATTTATTTTTCAGTGCGCGGCATGGGTTCAAATTGAAGACGACGGTCAGCAGCCTGTGGCCTCCTTTCAGGGAGCCATCCAAGTGTGGCGTCGCTTACGAGGATCCCCGGATGATTCTGAGGTCGCGCGTCTTCCACACGGTCGCCCTTATCGTCCTCTACAAGGCCATGCAGAATCACGTCTCCGAGCACGTTCTCGCACTGATCGTATTCCTTCTCGAGCAGGCGATACAAATCAACGAATCAGAGGCAAAGAATGAGGTACGTATAATTGATTAAGCGATAATTGCTCATCTACTAACGTCCGTTGCTTCTTCTTCCTAAGGCATCGAGCATGTGCACCAGCGGTTCCCAGCCTCACCGTCCACTCAACGACATGGATCTGACAAATTGGTTCGCGACGGACAGTCTTTCCGAAAACCTGCGCACCGTCATCGGCCGCGTTATCCTCACACCGGAACCGGAAGTGTCGCCCATCACGTACAGCTCAGATAGCAGTAATTATATTAGACGCATATCCTGCCTTTGTGCAACAACATAGTGAGCTTATCGTCGAATTGTTTTCTCCTTTGTTGCAGGTGATCTTGAATGGGAAAATTCCGAGAGTGACATCCTCATGTTGGAGGATGGCACCTGGAACAATCCAGGACCGAGCACCCAGCCCAGCAACATTATGATGCTGGTGCCGACGGTGCCCAGGAATCTGCCCATGACTACGATGGCACCGATGCGTGCCATCCAACCGGCAGAAACAACACCTACCGTTGCGAATGTCGTCGCCGTCGTCCCTCCTCCTATGGCGACGTCAACTACGGAGGGTGGCGAAAATTCTTACGCGGTCGCCCTTTCCTCCAACGTTAGCGTCATGAGCTCAAGTACAAGTAATTAGGATCTCTGGAAAGTGTTTCGACACCTCTCCCTTTCACATTTCTCTTTCTAATTTTGCAGATTCTTCGAGCAGCAGTTCGCATCCTGCGTTACCTGCACCACCTCCGCCGCCTCTCCAACATCGCGCCATCCTCGAAGCAACGAACAATGAGATTCTGGCTGGAATGACGGCAATCGCCGGTCAGCTTTCGGCCTCATCCTCGTTGGCTGTGAGACCGTCCACTTCCTCCTCTCTGGTGCCCACGCGCCGCAAGGGTCGCGGCAGTCCCTACTACTGTCGCAGACAGGGCAGCGTCGAGGGAGGCGGATCAACATCCAATAATCCACCTAGCGTTAAGATCAACGAGAGCGTCGTGTCTCTTCTGCTGAAACTGCACTCGCAACTCGCCGGTGTTCCCGACAGCTACAACGTCGATGAGGCGGCGGATCGTCGAAATCCGGTCGCGTTCGGCGACGGCACCTTCTACGTAGCACGTTTACTCGACCGAATCGCCGGCATGGATCAGCAATGTAAAGACAGCATTCAGGAGACGAAGAATCGCCTCTGGCCCAAGCAGGAGGAAGGCGAGGAAGAGCAGATCCAACGGGAGAACAAGGAGCGCGAGGAGCGGAGGCGTCGCGCCAAGGAGCGTCAACGCCAGCTGATGCAGGAATTTGCCAACAAGCAGAAGCAATTTATGGAGAGCGCGATGGAAACGGAAACGGAAAACAGTAGTAATTATCGCTTTTCATTGTTTCGATCCTTTACCATTTATGTGCATACTCCTCATTTGTTTTACAGAAATGGATTGGAGTCCAACGAGCGCCGAAACCTCGGAGCCCATGAATCAAGAGTACGATTGCGTCATATGCAATCAGAGCTCGCCGAGCACCGAGGAGAGGCCCATGGGTTTGGTGGTTCTTGTGCAAGCAACCAGCGTGATGGGACACAGACGAAGAGCACCGCATCCCGAACGATCTACTCTGCCCACCTGCGAAGAGGAGAAGGAATCTCTAAAGACGGACGACACGCTTCTCTCTGATTTTGATAGGCGGTGCGAAGAACTGAACAGATACTTTGACCCCGAGTCCTGGCTTCTGTCCATCAACATCGGCTGGGAAGGCGGCGTTCACGTGCAAACATGCGGTCACCACCTGCATCTGCACTGTCTCAAATCGTACCTCTATTCGCTCAGATCGCAGCAGCGGCAACAGAGTTTGGCTCCGGATAAGTAAGTTTTGATATATATATATTTGAATTACTGATGTTATTTTCTTTCTCTCTCTCTCTGTATCAGGGGTGAATACTTGTGTCCGCTGTGCAGGCAGTTGGCAAACTCGGTGCTGCCGCTCTCGCCGCAATTGGGCGAATGCTCGCAGATGGTGCGATCGCGACCCTCCAGCATGGCCGACGTTCTCAACGAACTCGGCGATTTCCTACGAGAAAACGAACAGACACCGGTGCGTGTATGCTTGCGTCCGCTTGCCACGTCGAACAGCTAGTAGTAATAATCTGTTTCCTCTCCCATTAGAGCACATCGAATTTATCGGAAGCCATGGGCAAAGCGATGGAGGACATGACGAGCAGCACGCAGCTCAAGGCGATGTTCAAACCGCAGACGGACAAACCGTCACACCAAAGTCTGTTCCTCTTTGTGACATCGATTGCGCGCACCAATCTGGAGGTGGAGCTGGTGCAACGAGGCGGATCGTTGGTCACGCTTACCGCAGAACCGCCCAATCCACTTCTTCCCAAACGAGACTGCATTGGTATGTGGTCGTCACATCGTATCCTATATTGATCAGATTAATAACGAGTTCTCTTTGATTTTCCCTTTTCAGTTCCTCTGCTGCACGTGCTGGCTGTGCACGCTCGCGTTCTGGCCCTGTGGCCGGCATCGATGACGTTCCAACAGTTGTGCAGGGTTTCCATGGTCAACGCTCTTGCCCCGATCGAGAAGGAGGTTCCTCTGCTGATACGAGATCCGATCGCCTTGCTTCTACATTTCGTCCTCTTACTGCCTCTGCATCTGGATCAAAGTACGTACACTCGTATTAATCATATTAGCTCATTATTTCTTATGTATTCTCTCTCCGTTCAGCCTACTTTACAACGGTCGTGAAAATGGTCTACAACCTGGTGTATTATCAAGTCGTCTCGCAAATCTCTTGCGGATTGACGGGAGCAGAGAGAGCGAAGGCATGCGAAGGTGCATCCGTCGGACACATAGACTCGTTCGCGGCCGCGCTGGCGCTCATCAATCAATCCTTGGGAGAGTCGGAATTGTACATGGAAGACGACGGTGCCGGATGCAGCTCAACGCAGGTCAACGTGGTGGCCCTCGAGCAGCAAGTGCAGAAGTTGTGTCTGCCCTTTCTGCGGATTGCCTCCCTGCTCAGACATCACATCTACAACCAGCCGCTGCCGGATATACGGGCACCGCAGTCCGAGTTCGTGCGGCTCGTCTACTACCTGGAACTGGTGACGGAGGGCATGGACTGGGGCTGTTTCAATTCGGCGGTAGCCCTCAATTGGCCGCTCGACACGGACGCCCACGTGCACCGCTCGACACCGAGCACATGGTGTCTGCAGCTGGCTAGCTACGCCCAGAGGTACCACATTGCTGCCAAGAGCTTTTTGGTGGACCAGCACATCACCTGGCAGCCGCCGCGACTGCTCGAGCTACCTCGCGAATACGAGAAGATCTTCACGTACTATCATGAGAGGCCGTGCAGTCAATGCCACTCGGTGCCGCAGGAGACGAGCATTTGCTTGCTCTGCGGCACCATCGTCTGCCTGAAGCAGAACTGCTGCAAACAGCAGAACGTCTGTGAGGCGGTAGCCCACTCCTTGGAGTGCGGCGCCGGCACCGGCGTCTTCCTCGTCGTCACCTCCACGTACATTATTGTGATACGCGGTCGTCGCGCCTGTCTCTGGGGTTCCCTCTATTTGGATGACTTCGAGGAGGAAGACAGAGATTTAAAGTAAGAGTCATATGTTTATTATATTTAATTATCGTTAATTCATCGTAATTTCACGCTACTAGATGTATTGATCATTTCATATCCTGAATCATGTAATTGTTTCCCCTCCCTCCTGCTAAAATGTATATGAATAGCTAAAAAATGAATCATTCTCATCAATACTTTGAATTTTTCAGACGCGGTAAACCGTTGTATTTGAGCAAGGACAGGTATCAGCTGTTGGAGCAGCAATGGCTCGCCCATCGTTTCGATCACACCAAGAAAACGTGGGTGTGGCATCGAGACGCTCTCTAGACGAAACATGATGAATATTATATGGATGGATGAATATAGGTAATAATATGAGAACTGCCAACGAACGACCGCGACGACGACGACCATGAGCGCATGCAAACAACGCCAACGACGATCATCAAATCTAATTAACCAACCAACCAACCAACCAATCAGTAACAAAACAAATATTTAACAGCAACCACGCACCATCCACCATCATCGTACGCATGCAACGTGCTGCAGCTAGCTAGCTACCAGCTCCTCCTCCTACGTTCAAAAAGAGAGAGAGAGAGTATGAAAGGACACGTTTTGTTTGATGCAAAGAAAGAAAAAATCTTTAGTCTCTTTATACGATGATTAAAGTTTAGTTTACACTCGTTATTTTTGCCTCTATTCAAACACATACATACATACATACAATTCTATTTCGGCTTGTCGTCTCCTCTAGTTGAACAAACAACAAATAGAGTGTGTGTAATATTTATTTATCTATCGCTTCTGCTGTTTAAACGAACTATTATTCCGCCCTTAGCGCCAATAACTCTAATCTAGTCCAATGAAACGGCAGACAACACACATTAATCTCCGCCCCTCCCTCTACAGACGTATTGCACGTATTGCATATTGTGATGTGTGTTCCTCCTACTCCTCCTCCTCCTCCTTCTCACCTATCAATTACATCATCTTCAATGCTGCATTTGACTTGAATAAGCGCAGCGCAACATGATAAATCATATTTATATACACACACACACACAGACAATTCTAAACATAGACTGTATGCATACATACACTGTTGTTGTTGTACGTCCTATTTTGTAATTTTAAAAATGTAACGACAATGGGAAAGAATGAGATTACAAAAGCACGAAAATAATCTCTGTATGTTTTCGTATGCTAGTGGGCAAGCGTGTGTGTAAACATCAGTTTGGTCTTTTATTATATAAAAATATTTGTTTTCTATATTTATACCTGGTGTATAAACAAAGAAACAGAGACAGTAACTAATGGAAGCGAGAGCGGGCGAGAATTTGCGAACGACAGTGTGTGGCTGGACGATTTATTTTTTATTTTTGGAGTTTGGAAAGAAAGAAAAGAAAGCTAGGAATTTGTTAATTAATTAATATTTAGATATGGATATGTTTTTTATTTTATAATATTATTATTATTTTTTTTTGCTTATAAATGATGATGATGAACATGTGAATAAATGTGGTGGATTATTATTATTATATGAGTATATATATATGTAGTGTGCAGTGTGTGTGTGTGTGTGTGTATATATATAAAGAAGGAAAGGGGTCATTATAGTAATAATTTAATTGATTGAATGTGTAAATTGATTGTATTATGTACGTTTATACATTTACTATACAAATATTGATTGATTATTTTCATCTTTATTTTTATTTTCGTTCCAGCTGTTAATGTGCATGAGAAATGAGAGAGAGACAGAGTAATATAATTGAATTAATATACACACACACGAGTGAGGGCGATTATCATCATTATTAAGTGATTAGTTTAATTTGATTTGATGAGAAGACTATATAGATATTGGCAATATTTGACGGGTATTTTATTATTATTTTATTAATTTGTTTGTTTCTCTTGTTTCGAAAAAGACACGCAAAATGATCACGAAGCAAAGAAAAATGGGAGGGTGGGGGCGTGAAAAACAAAATCAAGACGGCGACAGTTTGAATCCATCCATCGTAATATTATTATGCTTTTGTTTTTTATTTGATGTGATATATATATATGTATGTATATCTTAAATGCGAGCAGAAAGGGGAGGGGGATGTGAAGAAGCATTGTTGTTTTGAGTAGGCGTGGAAGGGTGGTGTGGGCGTGTCCAAGTTGCAATATTTGGGAGGAGTATGATGATGAGAGCGGCCCACGAGACGACGCCACGCCCCCAAAAAAAAACTGTCTTAACTTTTATTATTATTATTATTTAGATAAGGATTATTTTTATTTTCTTCTGTGAAAGATTTAATGATGTTTTTTTTTTCTTCTGTGATTTTGTTTTTTTTTTTTTGTTTCTGAGGCTGGGATTGGAACGGACGGGGCGAGCTGAAGATGGGGTGGATAATGATGATTAATACAGATACATCCGTCCCGTTCAATTCCACCGGTGAGAATAAATCGAGATGGAAATGTCATGTTATACATGTACCTTCTTGTCTTTCTCCACCCTACTACTACTACTATTACATTCATCCTGTCAATTGTTGCTGTTCGTGTTGTTGCACATGTCGTCGAAGCTGCAGCTGTTCAAGCTCTCCTCGTAGTAGCTCCTCACCTTGGACAGCGGGCAGAGATCAGAGTCGGGGCAGCTCGGCAATCTGACGACGTGCTCCTGGTGCAACGCGAGCAGCGAGATTTCGTTGCCGCATTTGTACGAGACGAAGGCGATGTTCGTGGCGAACGCATCGATGCGGCTGCTCCTCCACAGGCGATGCTCGTCGTAGTTGTCGTGCCTCAAAGGTCGCTCGTCCCTGTACAGACCCAAGTGCGAGAGCATCTTCAGCAGGGTGCCGGAATGCGTGAAGTAGAGGGTCGCCTTCGGGTACGGAGATGTCGTGTCGCCCAAATGACCGAGCATGTCTCCGAACGCCGGACATGCCTGCTTGTAGGTGATGTCGTGCCCGTACCCGTCCACCCAATAGTACTTTAAATCCTCGGCGTATTCGAACACCTTCGCCGAATTCACGTCGAACGGGGCGCACCACGGTGACTTCTTCTTGCGGCTCCAAGCAGTCTCGAAGGCGCACGTCATGTACATGTAGTGGGCGTCATCTACAATACAAATACACAAGTTAATCGAAGGGAAGAAAGTAGTTGTTGGAGCAGAAACTGACCGAAACTCAGGTTTTTCTCATGCACCCCCAATTTCTTGGCGATGCGCGTCAACTCTTTTTTCACCATCGGACCAGCCTTGAACGTGGTCGCCTCCTTCACAGCTTTCGGATTATGCTTCACCTCTTTCCTCCACTTGTTGCACAACTTGTAAAACTGCAACAACAACAGCAACAACATTATCCATCAAATAACAATCTCTCCGCACTCTCTGCACTCACCCTCAATATGGGATCTTGTTTGAGCGGTTCCGGAAAGTGCACGTCCTTCGCTGTCGGCTTTCCGAAAAGTCCCTTTGCGAAATAGTAGGCGCTCGCCTTCGTCCTCTGCGTGCTCGTGAATTTGAACTGAAACAAACAACAATAATGTAAATTCAGTATTCTCCACATTCCACAAACTAATAATACTCACGTTGTACGACGTGTTGCTGTAGATGTGCGAGAAGATCTCCGGCAACCTAGACTGCATCCTCTCTGCAATCTCCACCATCTCGTTGGCCCCCTCCGCAGTCAACTTCTTTGCATCCTCCTCACCGAAATCCAACTTCCACTTGCGCAGAGAATCCCTGTCACTCCTGAAGATCCCGTTCTCCTTGGACAGTATGATCTCCCTCATCACCGGCAACCTCGACTGCATCGCACTCACATAATCATCACTTGGGTATCTCGTCCCATGTCTGATCAGCATCCAAGCCTTCGACGGTTCACATCCTGCTCCACATTCAACAAACAAACATTAACAATTGAATCGATTCGTCCTTTGTTTACGTACCTGCAAAACTCAGCCTGCTGTGATTCCGATTACCGACGAATCTGTACGGCGATTTCGTCGCCAGATGATCTTCGAGCACGTCGTCGCAGCATCGCACCGTACACCACAACGATAACAGCAACGCGAATTTCAATACAACTCTCATAATTCTATCCACAAACAACAATCAACAAGTAGCACAAATGTAAACACGACCTTTAAGTTGGTATTCGTGCATCAAACGTTTCTACTTTTTCTTCGTGCAGCAAACTGAAACAAATTGAAAACTCTTTTCTTTAAAGAAAAAAAGTATTGAATTCAGTTTCACATTAATTAGTCTCATTTTCTTTATAAATTAATTCCAATTAAAAAAACAACAATCTAATTGGACTAGATGTTTTTTTTTCTTACGTTTATCAACCTGGTAAAATTTCAAGTGTTTTTTTTTGACTTGCGGTGCGTCAATTTGCCTAGTGTTCATTGTGCGCTCTCCAAAATTCGCAGTGTTTAAATAATTTGTACATATAATTTGTTTCTTTTTTTATATACATATATATAAAATATTGCGTGTGTTGCGTTCATTTGTGTCGACAATCGTTTTTATCTATTTCCATTGGAATTGGTGAAGAAGGGTGCTGCGAGTATTTCATCCCCCGCAAAGAGAGTGAGCGAGCGCGAAGATACATTTGTGTGTGTGTGTAAGAGAGAGAGAATGATGAATATGGATGACGTGCAAACGGGGTTGGAGAAGATGAGATTGGGATCGACGAAGGCCCGAACGAATCAAAACAAACGAGATAAGAAGGACGTGGAGGAATCGTCTTCTTGTCCGTCTTCGCCATCGTCGTCGACGACGACGCCGATTGTCAATGGGAAAATGAAAAAGACGAGGAGGAAGATGAAAGGTAAACGATGCACTGTTGTGCAACAGACAGACAGACAAACAAACAAACAAACGAAAAACAAAAGAGACGACCTTGTGTCGTGTGACTAGATTATATAACTATGATTATTAATTGCATTTGTTCATCTCTCTTATCAAGTCTACACTCATTATTTAATTATGATTACTGATTTGTTTGTTTTTTTTTTACTCTTTTATTGTTTATTTTTTGTAATTTTGCAGGTGTATCGCATCAGGCGCGAATCGAGTTGCGGTCGAAAATAATCGCCGAACAGTGCGCTGCTGGTATCGATATGGAAAACATCATCGACTCGCCTACTGGACCAAAACATATCAACGGCAAGATCGAGCCGCAACCAAAGGAGCAGTCTTCGACGAAAGCCACAACCATATGCACAGCTCAATCTGAGCAAGCAACAGAGATTATACAGCAGAAACAGAAAAAGAGCAAAAAGAAACGCGGCGGTGGTAGCAGCAAGAACGAGAGTCCTGTAAAGGGTGTCTCGACAAAGGTTACAGCAAACGCCGTCGGACAATGTATGATTAACGATTGATCGATGATTGATTCAATATTGAAATTTACGTTCTTGTTGTTTCAGCTGTCGGCGTTGGAGGTGGTGCTGTTCACGAGAATCATGTGGGTAAGAAGAAAAACAAAGAGAATTTACAATCATCGGCCGACGTGACGCCTCGCAAGAAGAACAAGAAAGGCAGCGGAAAGAATCATCATGATCGTCAGCTGAATCATCACCACGTGCAGGAGGATGATAGCAAGTTCGAACCGTATCTGTGCAAGGACGAGGTGGTCAAGGGTTTGGCCGATGGGACGCTGGTGAAGGGCGTCATCAGGATCAACCCCAAGTTCCATACGGAGGCGTACGTGACGCGCGACGACAAGAGTCTGCAGGACTACTACATCGGAACGTTGACGGAGAGGAATAAGGCGCTCGAAGGGGACGTGGTCGTCTTGCGTTTGAAGCCGGAGGAGCAGTGGCGCGATGAACAGCCGCGCGCCTCCGTCGTTTACATCCTGGAGAAGGTGCATCCGAGGCTGTCCGTCGGCCAGTTGTCGATGTCCAAGGACAAGAAGGGCGTGATATTCAAGCCGCGAGATAAGCGCGTCCCCTTCATGACCGTGCTGGAGGTGAGTCTGCCCGCAAATTACATGAAGAATCCGCACAAGTTCGCCAACACCTTGTTCATGGGTCAGCTGATTGATTGGCCGGTGCCCAAGTTCGGGGTCGGCTCAATCACCGAGAACATCGGCAAGTCGAACGATCTGCTCGCCGAGACGAGGGCGATACTCCTCGAGCACCAGGTCAATTTCGCACCGTTCCCACCGGACTTTGACATATTCCTGCCGAAGTTCAAGGGAATCCCGATCAAGGAGTACTCGTACCGCGAGAACCTGACCGAAGAGTGCGTGTTCACGATCGATCCGCTCACTGCAAAGGATCTGGACGATGCCGTGTCCTGCAAGAGGCTGGAGAACGGCAACTACGAGGTGGGCGTTCACATCGCCGACGTCGCCTTCCATTTGGCCGAGAACACGCCGCTCGACGAGATGGTCTGCAGTAAAGCGACGACCACTTACCTGGTGGACAACGTGTACCACATGCTGCCGCAGGAGCTCTGCATGATGTGCTCCCTGCTGCCGGGCAAAGAGAATCTAGCGTTCTCCGTGTTCTGGGAGATGGACGACGATGGAGAGGTGCTGAAACATCGTTTCGCTCGCACCATCATCAAGTCCTGCTGCAAGTTGGCCTACGAGCACGCGCAAGACATTATCGAGAACGCGAGTCCCGTCGCCTCCGACTTCCCCGACATCCTCAACGATTGCGCCACGTTCGTCGAGGTGTGCGAGGCCGTCCGCACCTTGAACCGATTGGCGCATCGGTTGCGGGAGAAACGCGTGAAGAACGGCGCCATCCGCATCGATCAGATCAAGCTCGGCTTCACTCTGGACGGAAACGGCGATCCGGACTCGTACTACGTGCAGCAGATGCGCGATGCGAACCGCATGATCGAGGACTTTATGCTGCTCGCCAATATGACGGTGGCACGTCGCATCCACGACGACTTTCCGCAGATGGCGTTCCTACGGTGTCACGACGAACCCAACGGCCGGATGCTGAGCGATGTGAAGAGGACGCTCGAGATCATCGGCATCCACATCGGAATCGAGGATTCTTCAGCTCTCTCCCAGAGTCTCATCAAGTACGACACTGGCGATTATCTAGGTAACATTCAGAATTGTTCCTTTCCCTTCACTCATATTTTACTTTCTTTTTGTTTAGGATACGTGCGGCACGTGGCAATAAATCACATGTTGGCCAAGCCGATGGTGAGGGCAGAATACTTTTGCGCCGACGACAGATGCGTTTCGGACTTTCGCCATTTCGCACTTGCCGTCCCAATCTACACGCACTTTACGTCGCCGATCCGCCGATATCCGGACGTCATGGTACATCGTTTACTGTCGGCCAGTTTAGGTACGATGACGACGACGTTTTTATTTTCATTTCGTTTCGTACCAATTATTATGATATTTTGTATGATCAATGATAGGTTACACGCCGAAACCGGATTGGCCGGTGGCAAGGATACGCGAAATAGCCGACAACTGCAACAAGCAAAAGTACAACGCAAAGAGGGCCGGTGAGGCGAGCGTCGATCTGTACCTGGCGCACTACATCGAGAAGCGTCAACCGTTCCACGACGATGCGGTCGTCGTCGCCGTGCAGGAGAAGAGCTTCGATGCGATCACGCTGAACACTGGATCGCAGATACGCATCTACTCGAACGTGAATTGATTATCATGTCGAAATGATCATCATACTCTCTCTTTCTCTCCGTTTCTGATTTGCAGACCTTCGAGGAAGCCGTCCACTGTCACACCGAGTGCAACACGTACGGAGACAAGCAGATCTGGAAGATGAACGTGATATTTCCGAGCGGCGAGGATACGAACGCCGTGCTGCAGGTGGTCGAGCTGTTCCAGGTGGTTCAGGTGGCGCTGAACAGGAAGGACAAGACGAACAAGCTGGAGGCGCGTCTGATTCGACCCAAGCACGTAAAGTCCCTCTGATTTCTAGACATGATGCAGACAACTGTGTATACACACACGCTCAAACGATTATCAACGTCGTCACGTACGTTTCGTTTGATTGTTTTGTTATTGACGTCGTCGTCGTCGTCATCGATAAACGCGTGTACGACTGTTGACTTGAATTCCGACAGATCGGACCGGATGCGTCCATGTCTATCTGTCTATACCACCGATGAAGATATTTAGATAATGACGATGATTAATAAATTGAAATACAATCAATACCATTCTATATTTAGACGACACACTCACTATATTACTACTACTCACTCATTGAATCATTCATTAATTCATGCATCAACTCTCGACTGGTAAAAGAAAAAAAAAACGTACGGAAAGGTAACATTTTGCAATTATTAGAATTGATCAAATGATGATCAACGTGGCCGTGCAATAAACAAATCACTTGCATTGATTACTTGTCAAGTATCGTGTGAATGCCAAAGTATAAGCATTCTCATTTGAAACCTTTCTCTCTCACATTTGTTTTTATTCATTTTTTTTCTGCCTCCTGAAACTCCAAAAATTAGAAAACAAAAGAAAACACAACATTTCTTCCACACATGTATGTATATATATATTTTTTGTTGGAGTAAGTAACGAGACTTTACATAATCCTATTCGTTGTTCCTGTTTAACTATTAAATTATTCTCATCCTCGTTTCCATCATTTACTTTTTCTCTTTACAACGCACATAGTAATAGTAATAATAATATATAGTAATAATAACATGTACACACTTAGCACTAATTAACTAAAAAAAAAAAAGAAACCGTAAAAGGCGAATGATGATTCCGTTTCCTATGATCGGAGTTGAAACTTATTTACATCTCTCAATGGTAAACTTGTTGAACTTTTTATCACCTCTATCGTTCTTCGTCATCGTCGTCCACCTTACTTCATTGGTGAAGACGACAAAAACAAACAAACTCGACGAATCGAACACGTGCACTCTCGTATTTAATTATTATTCTATTAATTATATAAAATTCAATTTAAACGAACAAAAAAATAGAGAGAGATAGATTTTGTTTTGTTTAAACCTAAACTAAAAGAAAGTAATTTTGAGCACGAACTAATAATAATCATAATAAATAGAGGTTTGGTAATTGTATATGTATATATATGTATAATAATAATTATAACAAACAAACGCAACGAAAGAAAGAGTGAGAGAGAAAAAAAAAAGAGATAAATTCGTTGTTTTTGTTCATTTGTTTTTTTTTGTATGTTTAATTTGAATTGGTTTAAAAATTTGCCGCCTACTAACAAGAAAATATGAATATATACGATATTGTTGTCATGGTAATTACGTTAAGTAACAGAATTGTTTTGTGGGCGGGGCGACCCTTTTTTCTTTTGCTGCGGATAAATAAATTAATTAATTTAAAAAAAATTTAAGAATGAAAAAAAAAAGGAAGTGCGCGAACAATGTTTATATAAATTGTATACAAAATCATCAGTCGTGTGTTTTATGTTTTTTGGGGGGATGGGGGGGGATTTCACCTCCCCGCAGTTGTTCATGTTGTCATCATTTGCATCATCATCATCGTAGTTGTCGTCGTTCTATGATTGTATGATATCTGTTGTTTTTGTTGTTGTTGTTGTTCTACCTTCTTCTGTTTTGTTAATAATTGTAGGGACCGTAGGCGGCGGATCCGGTGGTATAGTACGGACCTGCGTAGGCCTGCGGCGTCGGAAGCGGATATCCGCCGTACGCGTACTGCTGCTTCTGCGGATACACTGGAAACACACAGAGAGAGAAAGAAGGAACGGTTCGGTTAGATATGCAATTTCGGCACTTCCCCGAAGATGGCGGCTATCATGATGATGCATTTCCAGCCACCATCGAAGGGACATCATCATCAACAAGTACTACTTCTATCTATTTAGAACTCTGTGTCGTGTCAACTAACTCGCTAACTACTAACAACTACTGGTGGGGATGTTTTGGGTAAAAGCCGGAGAGAGAGAGAGAGAGAGAGAGAGAAAGCTTAAGCAAAACAATCTTGATTGTTTGTATAGATAGATAGATATAAAGAGACAGATTTAGAGATAAAGTAGAGATTCTAAATGATTATGTTTATATGTACATGTTCTAGATGGCTATGGTTTTGTGGCAAGGGGGTGTGGCTAAGGCAGCGGCCATCAATCCCGCTGAATATTTCCATAGCAACGATGAATGTTGATGTGATATTGCTATGGAAACTAGCGCGGATTGAGAACCGTCGCCGCTAGTTGGTTAGTAGGAGGGGTGTGACATCATGATATTGTGGTTAGATATGTGAGTGTTAGTGAAAGAAGAGGAAGAGATAGAGAGTAGAGGGTGTTACCAGGCATTAGATACTGCATATTGATAGCCTCCTCGCGTTCTCTTTCACCGCGCAGACAAATGGCAGCTCCAGAAAAGAGGATGGCCGCGACAAGAGACCAGAGGACCCCGACCCAGGCTAGCATGTAGCTCCAGTCGTAGTTGAAGCGCGTGCGATCGCGCAGCACCTGGTGGCAAGCAGAGAAAACGCGATTCAGTTCTCTGATTTTTTCTTTCTCATTTACCTGGCATTATGTATTGCATATTATTGAGCTGCTCCTGCTGCTTCTCGCTATTCAGGCAGCACGAACCGAACAGGAACAGGAAGAACGAGAAGCACGCCGAAAATACGCCCATCCAGCCCAAGACGAGGCTCCAATCGTAAGAGACTTCCGTGTTGTCTTGCAGCACCTGCATCATCTCATCGTCAAACAATAACAATAACAAAAATAGTAGGCGTCGCATCAATCAATCCATCCATAGTTGGCAATTGTCACAAATTATGTACATATATATATCGAGAGAGAGAAAAAAAACAATACACAAAATAAATGGTATGAAACCAATCAAAAGCATTGATACAATAATCAAATCAGCGACCAATCGGAACACAGAAGCGCGCGTCATTGCTATCAACAAGACCCGCCCACTTTGCGATCTCATTGGTTGAATTCGTCGCAATTCGGTTCCGATCGTCGCAATGACCAATCAACTCGTATTTATTAACTTACGCTGCTCCACTGTTGCGGGTACTCCTCTCCGACGACCTTCTCGCGTTCGTAATAGTCCACCCCGTGCCAGAGACCCATCGCGCCGGCGCTCAGAAGACCTGAAAATCAACAATTGATGATGTTAACGGAAACTAGATGGCGTGAGGGAGGTAGACGTGGATTGAACTTTGACCCAATTCGCACGCCCTCTCGTGCACACGTGGGGGGTGGGAAGAAACTTACATGCGAGCAGCATGAGGATTGCCGTGGCCGTGATGTTTCCAGGTGATCGCCTCCAGCATCCCGTCACTCCGGTGCAGAAGGCAGAGAAGATGGCTAAAAAGGAGATGACGAAGAGGGCGATCATCGATCTGCCCATATCTGCAAAAGACACAAAAGTTATTTTTCTTCTTCATCAACTTTGAATGAATTAATTATTAGCAAAGAGTTGGCTTTATTAAAAGAAAACAATAGAAAACAAAACAAAAGTTATTGTTTTTGTTTTTGGAATGTCGATGGCCTGCGAGAAGTAGGATGAACAGCTGCTTCTGTCCGAAAACGAACGGTGGTTTCCTTCGTGCATACGTACATATCCAAAGAGGAATTCCTCATCGCCTACGGTTTTCCTCGCGATTTCGATTCGAATTTCTAATTTGCCGTTGCTGCTCCGTTCCGCAACGCAACGCACGCAACACATAATAACCGATATTTACGCAGAAAGAAGAAAAAAGAAAAACGCAATCCACTTCCGATTCGAAACGTCAATTCTATTGATGCGTTTCCATGGTAATCATCATAATTAGCCCTTTGGTTTTCGGGGCTGTCCAAAGAATACGACCAAAGTGTAAATCCTGCTTGTCGTAAGAGGCGACTAAAAGGATGACGATCAAGAGAGAGAAGAGAAGAGAACTTACGCAATTTGGTCCAGGCGTCATCGGTGAAGTTTCCGGTCTCGTTGTTGTCGTCCGGTATGAAGTAGTTGATGTTGTTGCAGTGCGTCTCCACCGGACTAAGATAAGTTTTTACTGCACAAAACAAAAACAAAATATTACTAATTTGCAATTACTTTTGATAGTTGGTAACAGTTATAAACTTTTCACTGACATTGACATTTCAATCAGCTGATCAAATGACGCTATCGTTCAATTCGGATTTTGATCCAATAAATTCGTGTTTGAATAATTATTTCATTACACGCCATTCTATTCGTTTCATTCATTCATTCATTTCGTGCATAGTTGATTAGTTAGCAATGAACGGCTTCTTTTCGGGTCTTCGATGTGTTACCGTTACTCGTCTGTCTGTTGCTGCTGCTGCTACTTGATATGCATTTCGAGCCACAGCCGCCTCGCACGTAACGCAATGTACGTTGTATATAGCACCGTTGCCAGGCGACCGAGAAAGAAATGAATATCGAGAGAATCGGTGCCACGACACCACAATTTGTCCAATTATTCTTTGTTTCTCGCCTGCTTGTTTTCGAACGCAATTGATTATTATTAATAATTCGCATGCATTCGTAACAATGCTAATGAAGGCGCGCCTTGATCTCGTCTCTCGCTTTGTACTGCTGCTGCTGCTCGAGTAACACGTAACGTTCATTGGTTGCATCATCGTCCTATTATAATCATCATCGCCACAAATGCAAATTGCGTTCGCTAAGGCCGATTATCTAACGCCTCGCTAAGAATGCAATAACAATCAAGACGGCAAATAAAAGAAACTCGAGTAATTGTTGTTGTTGTATTGTGCGAAAGACGGACGCAAATGGTGCGCGTACAACGCAAACAAGATGGTGGCGCTATCTGCCGCGGTGTCAAATTGCTAATCGATGCGGTCACACACACACACACGCGCATTTCCATGCAAGTTCAAATACCGAAAGAAGTATCCGCGCGGAGCGAAACGGTTGTTTGCTCTCGAAATATTATTTACTTGCGCTCTTCCTTCTCCTTCGAGCGAGCGAGCGATGATGTAAACGATGCGGCAACGTCGCCGCTCAATATATTCAATTGACAGGTGTCAGTGTCAGTTGATTGATTGATTCGTTGTTTTTGACTTACCTGTCGGTGGTCGCTCCTTCGGGTAGCAAATTCTGAAGAGTCCTTTCGTCCGCGTGTAATAGTAGTACTTCGAGTTGACGCTGTCGAGAAGCGCCTGACTCTGGGCATCGCTGTGCTTGCTCAAGAAATCCTAATAGTAACAACAAAAACAAAAAACAAACACACAGAAATTAGTCAAGTTGGCCGTTTGTTAAATAGGGGCGACATGAGAGAGAGAGAGAGAGAAAGAAAGAGAGATAAATAAATGTATTCAATTCAACGAGGGTTCGTCTCTTGATCGATCATCGAAATCACCTCGTAAAACAGCTTTATTCGATAAGCAAACGTTTTTTTTCTGTATTTGAACGCATGCCAAAACAGTTTCATATCAATTAAAAAACTATTGCAGAATTATTAATTAATTACTGTTTTGAGGTGAGGGTTCGTGTCTTCAGTTTCTTTTCAAAATCACTTGTTTTGTTTTTCGTTATTCAACTGTTTCTCTATGATTCAACCAATTGTGTTTACGTCACCGCGAGATTTTAATTAGTCATTATATGGATGGAGAGAGAGAAAAAAAGGAATAATGTTCATATGTTTTTTTTTGCCCGCATTCGTTTATTTTTATTTTCAATTGTTCGATCAATTGATGTTTTTATTGCGATTTTAACGTTTTCCAATTTACGTTTTTCCTTTTTTTATTTTTTTTTTTAATTGCCCGATTGCTGCAAAGCTATTGCGATGTGCACTCGTTTTGTGTTTTCTTACTTCTTTTTTTTGTACTCGTTTTCGAAACGTTTTCGTTTTCTCTATTGCAAAATGGAGATGGCGGTAGCGGCAGAGACCGGTCGCCGTGGTTACTGTTGTTGTTGTTGTTGTATAATTAAAATGGAAGCTGCTGCTGCTGCTTGGCAAACTTCCTGTTTTCGCGAAACGAAACGAAACGACCACACTATATTTGCCAGATAGACCTGTTCCATTTCGCATTCATCTCTCTCTCTTTATATCAAACTCCATTTCACGTATTGCTGCCAACGAGTATTACGAGCGAACGCGAAAAACAATTGAGTCGTTTCCATTTCTGCGGACGCGGCCGCCGCGACCTCCGGAATTCCAGAAGGGAACGCACAAACAACAACAACATCAACACACCCTTGTCTCTCTCTCTCTCTCTTTCTTTTTTCATCTGGAAATATGCGTGTGCAATGAGATGAAAAGGGAAAAAAGATGCAAAGCGAAGGTCGTCGTTACGTTGCGTAATCGCAATCATATAATCATATGTTTTCTGTCATTTTTGACGTTTCAAAATTTTCATTTCAAATTTGTATGCTTTTTCGTTTTCCAATTCAATTGTTTCTTTCAATGACGTGCGGCGTTACGAAAACAATCGAATTAATTCAAACAGTCACGCGATTATTCATTTATATAATTATTATTAATTAATTAATTAATTAATTAATGTTGGTATTGATGATGTTAATGTGTCTATCGTCGCCGTGGGAAACGGAAACCCTGGTGGATTCGGTCGCGTCTCGAGGATTTCAATTGCAAAAAAAAAATCCCCCAGATTTGTATCGTTTTTATTTATTTTTTATTTACTGTTGCTGCGACTGCTTCTGATATTTACATTTTATTAATTGCGATTGGGCATTAAAGCGTGCAGCGGCGTATTAATCGAGGCCGTGACTAATAATATAATCGAATCGTTTAAATCTCGCGTTCGGATTGAATTCTGATTCGCGTGGACGAAGAATTTAAATTTTTTCGCGACTTTGACATTTGTTGCACTGTCATTTTGACGTTTCTGCTGCTGCTGCTGCGGGGAATTCGCGAATCGTGCGTGGAATGCGCGCGCGTCCTTGATCGGGCACGGCGAATAAATACGTCCCCCTCATCACCTTGACGACCGAAATAACTCCGTGTATTAAATATAATCTCCATGGTGATGATGATGATGATGAAAAGTTTAATTTTGTATCTGTTCTGTCGAAAGAAAGTGGAGGAATGTCGAACGCATCGAAGTTGGCGGTGGGAAAGGAAAATATCAGGAAGCGAGAAACGGAGAAATCCCTTCACATTTTACATAACTCGAGAGCGGAAAAAAATGCAAAAATACACATTTCTGCACGTTCAATTAGCAATTCGCAAATGCATTGAGTGTACTTGGTGTAGTATATTTATCGATTTCCTCCTCGGTCGAAGCGCGCAGACTGATGAAAGCGGTTCGAATTTGCGAAATGTATGGTTTTATTAATAATAATAATAACAGTTGATTTGAACGACATTTTCCATTTCGAACGGTCGTTAAAATCATAAAGTAGAAAGTGAAACATCGATTGTTTTTGGAGCACGCTTCGATTTAGAAAAAATATATATATTTTTTTTTTGTTTTCTTGCTTTTCGGTCGAAACTAAAGTAAAAGATTATGTTGATGCTGCTGCATGCAGCAGGAAGGAAAGAAAGTGGAACGCGAACCGGACTCGGCGGCGGCGGCGGCGCTCATCTTTTCTTCGTCTTCGTCTTTCGCATCGAGCGCGCGCCTCCTGCATTCCGAAAATCAACCGAAACACACCTCTCGCAAACAAAGAACCGGTCGCCTTGGTTACCTTACCACCATCTTCTGCAAATGCCAACTGTTTTTCTTTTTTGATACGACAATTTCGTCCATCCATCGCAAGTCAAATATTCCTTATAACCTAATCAGATATTTGTATTCAGCGCACGCTACTTGCCAAGTAATTATTCAGATATTGATAATGTGTATGCAAAGGCCCATAGATGGCGTAATTCGCGTGGGTCGCGGAATTACTATTAGACTATTGAATGATCGGTCAATGATTCGTGGAATGTGATTCACATTCCGAAAACGTCCTTTGTTTTTGTTTCCTTCATTTATTCCAATTTGTGTTCTATCTTTCTCTCTCTTTCTCTCACTCTTTTGTTTGTGGTAGCATTTCAAACATATTGTCACGAAATCGAAATTCTATTGGCCATATTAACACATTTCTCCATGGCAACAATAATAACTATTTATTATGACAGTTGTTACAGGTGTCATTGGGGTTAGAGAAACGTCAAAAAAAAAAAGGTTTTCGTGTCCGTAAATCACAGACAATCGAGAAGTAGTAGTAGTACGTGACCGTTTCCAATTGCCACGAACCTTTTCATCCTTTGTCGTCCTCTATTATATAATGGGAGAGAAAAGAGAGATCATCTACCTGCGGCGGGCGGGTAGACCCGAAAAAATACAATACAATAGAATAAACAAAAGACTACTACTATTACAATGCACGCCTGTTGCCGTTTTTCTTCTTCATCTTCATCATCTTCAGCAAAAACAGGTGGTTGATGTTGAATCGATCTTTCAGAGAAAAACACGTTTCGTTCGTTCGGGTTTCTATTTCTAAACACGTGAAACTGTTATCGTTTTGGTCGCCATGGCGATGAGCAATAATAGCCAATGATGATGAAACCGTATTCATTTTTTTTTCTTCTTCCTGTACAACTCACAGGTAATTTGATTTATTTTTTTTTTCATTTCTTCTTTTAATTGCGTTCCGAACGCGCGAGCGTAATTAATAAATAGAGATGGATGAAACGGAACTTACTCAGATTGACTATAATAAATTAACAACTAGTCTCATTTCTTTCGAAGTGTGAATTATTTCTTTTCTTTTGCGGTACATTTGTTTGCTTGAGGCGCCCGTATATCCAAAAAGAAAGAGAAAAACAAAATGAAGACAGAGAAATAAAATGTAGAATTTGTTTTCCTCAGGTATTTGAATAATTTTAATTAGAATGCTGACCGCGTCAACTGAAGGGAACTTTCTAAAGCGTTTCCGATCCTCGTACACATTCAATAATAATAATAATACATACGTACGTAAGTACGTACGTAAGTGGATACGGTTACTTATACGGATGGGACCTCGTAACGTTCAGGTATGCAAACATCCAAAACAAAAAAAAATAAAATAGAACAAACCAAAAACAATATCGAAATTGCTCCAAGTTTTTCGACCATATTTCGACTCTGACACGATTTCCGCTTTTGTTTTGCGCCAATTTCGGTTGTTTATTATTAATTTTTTCTTTTCGTTGTTGTTGTTTCTTTTCACAAATTGGAAAGTCGCGCGTGCATTCAATCCTCCCTCCACCGCATATTACCACTGCAGCTTCGACATTCCAACGTTTCTTTTTTTTTTGTTTTGTTGTAATTTTTATTAAAGTAAATTTATTGGATTTTGATGACGTTCAGGAATTTCGTTTTCAGATCGGTCAATTAAAAACCAATGATGGCGTCTCTGACACCACATTGACACCTCCCCTTTTTCGCATTCTCTATTGTTTTTTTGTTTTGTTTTGTTGTTTTCGTTTCGCTAAAGGTCACTTTGATTTTCGTTGTTTGTTTATTTTTCCGTATGTTCTCATGACAACGATACCTGTTTGAACGCAGCATATGCGATGATGATGCTGCGTTCAGATCGAGTGAGCGAACTAATGGCGTCTCTTCTTTTCAGAGGAAGAAATTCCGTCTCGACGTGATTTAGCACGTGATGTGGATGAAATATGTTAATGGATTAGTTAATAACTTACTTGTATTTCTGCCCTTTTGACTTCGATGCGTAACCAATTGTCGGTGGCGAAGGCGATGGTGAGGAGGGTGACGGCGATGATCGAAGTGATCGTCGCCAGACTCAAAGTCACAGCCGAACAAGGCATCTTATCTATCCAATCTATTACTTCCTTACTTCTGTTACTGCTGCTGCTGCTCTCACTCAATCACTTTGGAGAGTTGAACGCTAGCGGAGAACACGAACACCGCGGAAACACAGGACACTCACGCGGCAAATCCTCTCTACCTGTTGCTTCTTCTGCTACTACTTCTTCTTCTTATTCTTTTCTTATTGTTGTATCGTCGGAGGATACGGGTCCAATCGCGCGTACTAGCTTCTCGAGAATGAGAGAATACTTCTTTTTCTTCACTTCCCTGACCGCATACCTCTCCTCTACCTGAGTTCACCGCACAACAAAGGTAAGAAGGAGCGAGCGCGCGCGCATCTTGCAACTTTCTCGAATTCAAATAATGAACGAAGACGAAGAAAAGCAAGTGCAGTTGCAGTCTCAACATTTGTAATTGCATTTGGAAGTGGAAATTTTGAAAGTATTTGAAATCTGTAAATAAAATTTGAATTTGCAAGTGTATGCAACCAATGCAACTCGTGCAGGGATTTTTCGTGCGTTCGCTCGTTGTCGGTTGGTAAACTTTCAAACTGTCCGGTTGCTAGGCGCTCAGTTTTCGTAGAGGGCGCATCTATCGTGTGTTAGATTGACAGAAAAACAAAAGTTTTGTTTTGAAAAAACGAAGAGTGTTTTTGGCGGAGGATTTGGGTAAGATTGCGAGGTGCGAAAATGTCGGTTACAGTCGCCGCTGATAAACGGTTCGATGATAATCTGTTCGAAATCCTGAAGGAGCGTCGAACTCTCACCAACTTCCTGGACACGGTGTTCGGCTTCCTGAAGCGCCGGTAAGTTTACGAACATAACCTCAAACGCCATCGATTGAGTTCGGCTTTTGTTTATGTTTGCAGGACGGATTTTTATCAGGTGGCCGAGACGAATGCGTCACCTGTGGGATTGCCGAAGGGATTGGCCGAGACTATCTTGAGGAATTGTTACTACAAGTGGGAGAAGTACGAGGAGCCGTTGGTGGTTGCAGATGAGGCCTCGACAACGAAGCAGTCGACCAAGAAGAAAACAGCTAAAGGTGACAACAAAGGTGGTGAATTCAGTACGGCGGACAGTTACAATGGAGCTGTCCAAGAGAATTACTCGTGGGCGCAGACCATCTCCGATCTGGACGTCACGATCAAGATACCCGAGGGGGTGAAGGCTAAACAGCTGGATGTAAAGATCGAGGCGCAGAGTATTTCGGTGCGAATGTTGCAGGATGGTGGCGAGACGATCCTCGCCGGTGATTTTCCCAGAAAGGTGAAGCCGACGGACGCGATTTGGTCGGTGGTCGGTGGAAAGCTCGAGATTCATCTGGATAAGGTGGCGGACGTGTGGTGGGATAAGCTGCTCGAAGCCGAGAGTAAGCTCGATCTCACCAAGATCGACTGCTCGAGACCGTTCGAAGAGTTGAGCGACGAGGCTCAGGCGAAGATCGAAGAGCTGACGTGGAATCAAGAGCGGCGACGGCAGGGTTTGCCCACTTCGGAGGACGTCGTCTTCGAGGATAACCTGAAGAAGGCTTGGAACGCGGAGGGTTCACCGTTCAGCGGCCCCTTCGATCCCAAGTCCGTCGTCAGGCATTAATCGGAGAGCGGAGATCCGTATGTAAATAATATTGCATTTCTTTTTCCCGCCGCCTCGATCCGTTCTTAAATTGTACTTAGGCAACCCGATCGGCGTCTTTTCGTTCGCACAGTTGCCGATCGCATTTTACCTTTTTATCGCGTTATCTCGATCCCTTCTTCGCAGGGTAGTCAACTTTTATATATATATATTTTTTTTAATATTACCTTTGTAAATATATCGTTTATTTATTTAATCTTGAAATTGTATTTTCAAGTATATTTACATATTGATGATTATGATAATCCTAATAATAATGTTAAAAAAAACCTTTCCTGTGGAATCCTGAAAAAAAAGTTGCTCCTGCTGCTGTAATAATCATACATCATCCATGATCGTGTCAAATTCAAACTTTAGAATTTTCAATAGAATAGTAATAACGATGATCATCAATTGAATTATTTATTTCATTCAATTTACTCGAAACATACAAACTTTGAAATAGGTCAATTTATTTATAACATAACAATTGTAATTCCCTCATTCTTTTATTATTATTATTATTACTTTCCAATCTGTTCAATGAATTGTAAATTCTGTTGCAGTAAGTAAACAAACACACGTCAACAACAACAACACCAAAACAAGAATATGTATTCTGTTTGTGTCTTGATGCTCGTTTTCTTTGTGAAGGTGGTGATGATTAGACAACTTTGTATCTTGCCTTGCTGAAGGTGTGGTGGCCGGCCGTCTGCAGTTTGAGCAGTTCCTCTTTGATGAGCCTGGTGATCTCCGATTTCGCTTTGGATACGGCGATGTCGCTCGTGCTCTCGATCGCCAAATAGAGTTTGCGTTCACCGTCCGGCGCGGATTTCCCGGTTGGAACGTAAGTGCCTCGCACCGTGATGCCGGCCTCCGAGTACTCGGATATCTGCGCGAGAGCCTCCTTGCTCGTCACTCTCCAGCGCGCCTGCTGTGGGAAATCGTTGATCTCCAACTCCTCCTCGTACTTCCTGAACGTCTGCTCAGATTCTTCCTCGCCGCGATCGTCCTCGTCCTTCGGCTGATAGTTTAGTCTCGTGTTCAGTTTTGCAGCCAATTGTTCGGCGACCGTTTTTGCAGTGATCAGTGGATGAGAACCGGATCCTTTGAGGATGGATTCGGCCGCCTGCTGCGTCGCGAACTTTGTGTCAGTTCCCATGCTCTTGCTCAGGTTGATCTTGGAGGCCAACTTCTTGGCCAGCTCCAGTTTGTCGGCGGCCGTGTGCTGCTGCAACTGTTGCTGCGACTGCATCTGCTGCTGCGATTGTTGCGAATTACCACCACCACCAGCGCTCGATGATGAAGCTGCGTTCGCCGCACCTCCTGCCATCGGCGCCTTTATCTCCTTCACTATCCTCTTCGTCGCAAACATGCTTTCTATTTGCTGATCTATGTCGTGTTCCAGATCCTCGTCGTCCGAATCCTGCAAACCGAGCGCGGCCTTCTGGAACTTCTTGCGTTCGTTCGCGGCCGCCGCCTCGGTTTCGTCGAATTTGAATCCTTTGCCGCTGAAACCGCCTCCGGTATGGACCTTCTTTCCTTCCGCCTCCTGCTTCGCCTTGTACGTGTCCCAGAGGGTGCGCAACGCTTCCGGCACCGTCACCTGCGCCAAATCGAACGCCCTTATGATGTCGCCCGAGTATCGCTCCTGCTCTGGCGTGATGAACGTGTACGCGAATCCCTTGTTGCCGGCTCTTCCCGTCCTGCCGCATCGATGCACGTAGTCCTCGTAGTGATTGGGACAGTCGTAGTTTACGACCAAGATCAGTTGCTTTACGTCTAATCCTCGTGCCGCCACCGACGTCGCCACCAGCAGCTTGACTTTTCCCGATTTAAAGTCGATCATCGTCGAATCCCTGTCGAACTGATCGATGCCGCCGTGCAGACTCATGCAATTGTACGACGCTTTCATCAGGTCCTTGAGGAGGATGTCGGCGTTTTCCTGCTTATCCACGAACACAATGATGCTGCCGTGCTCCTGATAGTGACCGAGCAGTTCGAGCAGTTTGAGGAACTTTTGATCCTCCTCCAATATGACGACGTTCTGTTCGACCTCCTTGCATACCACCGATCTTCCGCCCACTTGAATCTCGATGGGACGTTGCAGGATGCGACGCGCCAACGCCTCCATCTGTCTCGGGAACGTCGCACTGAACATGACCGTCTGTCTGTCTGGTCTTACGTTGTCGATGATCCTCATTACCTACATCAGAAATAGTCAGCATCATCTGTTAGATATCATGTATGTTTTTACCTGCGGCTCGAAACCCATGTCGAACATTCGATCTGCCTCGTCGAGCACGATGTACGTGACCCTACGCAGATTGGTGACTTTTCCGCTGTTCGCTGCGAGCATGTCGATCATTCTTCCAGGCGTGCAGACGATGACTTCGGCTCCTCTCTTCAGTTCGGCAATCTGTTCGGAGATGCCCGTTCCGCCGTAGACGCAGACCGCGTGCAACCCGAGACTCTTGGTGAATCGTTTAATGTCCTTTCCAATTTGCATGCAGAGTTCGCGCGTCGGCGTCATGATTATGGAGACGGGTCCGTCCGTCTCCTCCAGCTGCGGCTGGTCCAGTATGTGTCTAAACATCGGCAACAGAAAGGCAAGTGTTTTACCGCTGCCCGTTTTCGCGATCCCAATTAAATCTCTACCTGACATAATTGCGGGGATCGCCTGCGTCTGAATCGGCGTCGGTCGCTCGAAACCGAGACGCCTCAGCACGTTCATTTCTTTCGTCGAGACGCCGCACTGCGCCCACGTCTTTATCGGTTTCGGACAGCCACGACCTACAAAATCAAACCAAACAAACACAATTTACAACAACAACAACAGTTTCACGTCGCTCACCTTTCACACGGATCCCCTCGAGTTCCTCCTTATACGCGTCCACCTCTTCGTTCGTCATCCTCGCAATCTCCGGCACCTCCACGTAAAAGTTCTTGCGAAACGAAGCGTACGACACCTCGCTGTGATCTATCTTGGCCAACTCCTTCTTCTGCTTGTTGGCGATGTTCGCTGCGGTATCCTTCAAATCTTCGATTTCCTCCTCCGAAGAGTACTCCAATCCGTCCTGATTCTGCTCGATCAATTCACCCTTGTTCGTCACGATCTTCGCCTTCGTCGCAACACCCGTTACAATGACCATCGCTCCCCTTCGCTGAACATCGCCAGATGTTGCTGACATCGTCGTCGTCATCGTCGACATCATAGTTGTTGACGAGGAAAGAGTCTTTCCCTTCCTCACGTCGATCTTCGTTATTTTCCTCACCTCCTCCTGCACACCACGCATGTACTCGTCCAACGGATCCACATCCTCCTTCACCTCAACTTCCATCTCCTCCTCTTCCTTCTCCACAACTTTATCCTCATCCTCAGAGTCGTTTTCCAATGACCATTTCTTCATATTTGCTTGCGTCATCTCCTCTTTCTTCGGCGGCTCTTGCTCGTCCTTTTGCTTTCTCTCTGCTCTCCATCTCTCTATCCTTTCACGTCTCTTCTGCATCTCCAGCTCCAACTTCTTCTGTTCCTCTTCCTTATCCAAATTGGTCGGATCGAAGGGCAACTCTCCACCTCCACCCGACTGATCATCTTTTCCCTTTGGTGACTTTGATTTACCTCTCCTCTCCTTCTTACCGATCCTACCACCACCACCTCCTCCACCAGCACCCGTTCTCTCCTTGCTTTCAATTCCGCCAACACCTCCTTTCCTATCTCTCTCTCTGCTGTGTGATCTCCTACGATCTCTCTCCCTCGATCTGCTCCTCTTATCCCTCGATCTACTCCTCCTGTGTCTGCTCGATTTGTTGGAACGTTCCTTTTCCCTGCTCCTCGATCGGCGCCTCTTCCTCTCCAAACTTCTGCTCCTTTCGCGCCTAAAACAACAACAACCACAACAAAAAAACAATTTAAATTAATTCAATGAAAATTATAATTTCACAAATGAATACTGACCCGCCGCTTCGAACCATCTCTCTATTATATGTCTTTAGATAATACTAAACATAACCTAATCCGCTGATGATCGTGCCCACTACTAACAAAACATTACGCGAAACGAACCAAGGCACTGCAAGGCACCACCACCACCACGAAATAAGCAAACAAACATCACCAAACGAATACCAACCGAACCGAACACACTTCAAAAGAAATACCAACAGACTATTAGAAAAATCCCCATCCACAAAGCAGGATGTTGCAGGATGGACGAAACATCAAGATATCCAATTTACAGGAATGTTTGCAGGCGAACAGAAGACAATCAAATTGCAATTGTTATTTAATACTATTCAATAATGAAATAAAGAAAAATAATTCAAACTATGGTGTTTTAATGGTTTTTAACAAAAATTCAAAGAAAACATTCCACACATTCCAAAACGTCAAAAAGCAAAAATTCCACACATTCCAGAAACGTCAAAAAACAAAAATTCCAAACATTCCACACATTCCAGAAACGTCAAAAACAAAAATTCCAA